CGTACGGATGACAGCTGCGTATGACTTAATTTATTTTCTGGTGCTTTCACTTACAGAGACAGTTGTAAGCACTGTGTTACTGCCTCGAGGATGCTTGACCATGTTAACACAACGTGGTGCGATCATCCCCCGTTGCGCGGAGTGAGGCTTCTCGACCCCGCACAACATGATCTACTGGACCACCATTATGGTTACCGCCAACAAATCAGAGGCAAAAGAAAAACAGTAACGGGGCCGCAATAATGCCACATGAGTAAGGCCGCCTGCCCGATGTAAGGCCGGTGAAATCGCTTGGCACAGACTTTGCCCGATATGAGGCCGGTTATGGTCCCCCGCCTGCCCCCAATAAGGCCGGTCTCCGAAGAAGTGACGCTGGTTTCGCAGCATATCATACCCTCTCTCGTGCACAGCTTCATTTAGCAGCACGCACCCCTCCCTACACGACCAATGAGATTGGGCTCGTGAGACACTACACAATTACACTATTACCAAGAGTCAGAACCAAACACAGAACATGCGAACCCATAACTGACACGAAACGGTCACGGTTGGAAGCGACCATACCGACACGGTTACCATCATCACGCGAGAGTATTTTGTGCCCAATTACCCCACTCTCCGTGCGTGACTTCCGAGAACGCTGTAAATACACTCCTTTGATTTATGGCCGGCTTTGACCTTTACTTTATGGTATCGCCTCAGGTGTTCGCCTCTTACTTGCAGGTCACATCCATGCGTACGGACTTGTTTCCTTTATTTTTCTGCGAAACGGGGGGGGTCTGCCTGAGGTATATTTTCTACGTTGATATTTCTTTATCACAGCAGTAGTATTCATGTTTGTCTGCCGAAATTATATTTCTGCCGATTGGACATGTGCCTGAGAGGCGAAGAAGATTGGATGGGAAGCATGGAATGGACGTCATAGAAAAGCACCGATTCAAACGCATCGTCCGCTTCGTATGGCCTACGGTAGGCGCACGGGTGTTCTATAAGGTCGGTGCTGGCCTTATTGAAGAGATTTCGAAATCCTCAATAAGGCCGGTGGTACCGGCCTTATACAGGGCCGATTCTATGTAAGGCCGGGTGCCCTCAATAAGGCTGGTTTAATCTCATGGCACCATGCAGCCTTATTGCGGGACCCCTACTGTACTTTGTAGCAGCATTAATGAGACATGACCGTGTCTCGCACGGGCGTTGCCCCAGCAAGGCAGGTAAAAGCATGCCAAGTAGTATCAAGCCTGCGGTAGCAGTCAAGCACCAAAACTGAAAACGTGTCAACCACGACGGACGACGGTTATAAACGCATGTAGAGTCTTGTAGTAATGTGACGGCAGGACCGTCACTCTGCTCACACCGACCGACAACATATTCTTATTTCTTGTCTTTTCGTTGGTGTTTGTCGGTGCCGTGTGTTGCCGGACTGGGCGATGGCGACGACGTGTGGCGCAACCAGACCGATGGGACGCTGGGAGGGGTGGTGGTCAAGATCGGGCAAGCGCACACCCGGAGGGACTCGAGGCTGCTGACCAAGCGGGAAGGCTCTGGGTCCGCCTATGGGTGAGGGGCACGGCAGTAGTGAGGGAGAGGGGGGGGGCGGGGCGTACTCTCATGTTTCGCATGCCTTAGCGGTTAGAACATTGACCACGGGTCCCCGAGAGGAAGACGGAGCATTGTTCCCGCCGGACCGACCACCGATGGCCAATCGTTCCTCCCTACTTTGCCAAAGGTGGCTAAAAAAATAGTGAGAGGAGGGGGGGGGGTGTACTCATAGTCGTGCATGCCGTAGTCGTTTGACCATTGACCTCGCATCCCTACAAAGCCGGGACGGAGCACGCCGGGTTCTCACCGGACCAGGGGGGGAGTTTTTATTTTTTGGTCGGAGCTGAAGCGGGAACAGCAGCGGTGGCCTCTGTTGCAACGTGTACAAACGATCGTAGGTCGAAGATAACCCCCCTCCCCGCGATGCTATGTTGGATCTAAGCCGGATAGACCCGACGAGCTTGAGCGGTTTTTCGTTGTGGTGATTGCGTTCAGCCAGCAACGGCAGGTCGAACCGGCGTGGCGGGCACGCTGCGGGGGGGGAAAGGCCCTCGTCTTTCTGCTTGGTGCATTTTCTTTAACATTGACCACACAACGGCGGTTTCTAGACGGACACAGCGCTTTCCTCCCCCCGGGACGAAAGATACCACCAACAATTAGGCGCCGGGTGTGCTTGCGTCCTTGCGTCGCTTTGTAGAACAACCGCGCCAGCCGGCTGACCAACGAAAGCAGACACCAGGCTTACGCACACATCGGCGAGACAAAACCCGTGACCACACTACACCTTATCCGCGCCCCTCCCCTCGCCAGGACGGCCGCGCAGGACATTGGGTCCAATTTCCGCATCCAGAGTGCCTGCCAGATGAGAATGAGAAGACACGATGACGCTCGTTGGTTTCCGTTATGTGGTATTGTAGGGCTAGTTCGTGCTCGCGATGCGGGCTGTTTCGGCCTTTGGCTGCCTTGAGCATTCCCCTCCCCCCTCCATCTACCTTTTTGAGCCACCCGTTGGCAAAGTAGGACGGAACGATTGGCCATCAATGATCGGCCTTGTGGGAACAATGCTCCATCCTCTCGAGGACGCGTGGTCAATGGTCTAACTGCTGAGGCATGCGAAAAAAAACGAGTACGCCCGCCTTCAACATTAACACTCCTTGCCTACTCGATAGCTTAACCTGGCCGCCATCCCGCCCGCCGCGCACGACGACTGGCTGCTTCAAACCCGCAAACACCCCGCAGGGCGAGCAGGGGTTACGGCAACGCCGGGGGCGGGGCGGGGGGGACGCGGTGGCTGGAGAGCAGCAACCACAGCTCGATGACCTACAGCAGGCGTATCTCGGCGGTGGGGACCATCTTTGAAAGCCCTCACATCTCCGTCGGGACCCAGGTAAATGCGGCGTGTGTGTGCAATCCCAGAGCCTCCTCGGCCGTAAGACGAGGGGGTCATGGCTTACGGGGTACTGTACCTCTAGAAAAGGCGCCGCGTGAGCTGTGTAATTTCCAGTGCGAGCAGTTCGGATCAGGTCAAGGTGCTGCGATTTTATTATTCCGAGGACGGGGAGCAGCAGCTAACATCCTGGCTAATTGTTCTCTTCCGCCTACGATGAGAGATCTCTCATTGAGAGAAGCTCTCCTAGAGAATGCAAGGATTCTTACATCTGTGTACTGTAGGTGCCATGAGATAGCACACCCCCTGGACTTGTATTTCTCGTAAAAGAGGATGCATTCATCATACGATGCGTGTTCGGAAAGCTCTCGGCGGGACGGTTCCAACGCGGTGATTGTCGACGCCGTCAAATCGCGCCTTGAAAAATCAATCGGGCCAGGGTGTGTGGGGTGGCTTCTTCCACGGTAGTATGGTACGACTTACCTTTCTTCGTATTTTGTGTTGACGAGCTGGTAATAGTTTTGTTAGCTTGTATCCAGCGAGTCCTCAGACTCGGGTCTTGATGCGTGCGTGTTTCGTTGGCAGAGGCCGTAAGTGCTCGAGTTTGTCGAAACCGCCGTGCCGCTGCAGCCCTCATGGTGTAGTCGAGAGCCACCCAGCAATGTGCTTGATATGTGACGCGGACCGTCGTTGTACAGGCGGCTGACCACGCGCTGCGGTAACGGAGTCGGCTCAGTTTTGGCCGGGTGCCTGTTGAGAGGGCGAGAAGTTGCCCCACGCCTGTAGAAGATGTTCTCGTTTTACCCCCCTCAGGTAGAGAGCTTGCATGCGAGCAAGTGTGGTTTCGCTTCAAAGACGTCCAACGACAAGGGACGCATACTCTACTCTACAATATACCTCTGCTGTATGTACATGGCACCTGGTCTACGCAGTCACCGCTGCGGGACCCTCCTTGATTTTTTGGGTATACTGCTGTAGTGCGATTGGGAGGTCGGTTGGGTTTTGGGGAGCTCGTCGAAGGATAGGGCGAGAGGGTCTCAGCAGGGGAAGGAATTGCTTCGCGGCGTGTTTTATTTGGTTGAAATGGACGCTGGCCGATGTGTGCGGTGGTAGCAGTCGCTGTTGATGCTCGCCCCACCCATTCACCGGCCCCTTTCACGAGACCCCACCCCACCCCCGTTACACTTCGCGCGTCGACGACGAGCAGATAGTTCTGGTGGCCCCAGCGTTTCTGTACGCGATGGCGGTGGTCATGTGGCTCTCTCAGGACGAAGACATCGAGTTTGCCAGGGAGTTGGCCCCGGTGTCGTTTGCGTCGTTGTGCGTCCACCTGTTCGCAGCGGGAGAGGTGAGGATGCGGGCGGGAGGAAAGGAGAAAGTCGGCAGGGAGGGGGAGGGGGGGGGGGGGGTTGGAAGAGGAGAACGGGAGGAAGCGGCGAGTGAAGCGTGTTTGAGAGAGAGAGAGACAGAAACAGGGACAAAGAGGGGCAGAGAGAGAGGCAGAGAGAGAGACAGAGAGAGACAGACAGACAGAGGAAGAGAAAGAGAGGGAGACACAGACACAGACACAGAGGTAAAAGGGAGACGTGGGGCACAAGCTTCGGGTGTAAACTGTAAAGGGCAACGAATGACGGCAAGAAACGCACGTGCACACACCTTTTTTTCTGTGGCAACATGCCCGCGTCGCCTTATTGCTTCCCATCGCTACTTCTACCCACCTGCTTCTCCGCAACTCTTTTCGCTATGTACGCATGCTATTGTACCTACCACTTCTTCTGCCATTACGACTTACACAATACGGTGCCATGTTTACTGCCACTGCTGTTGACTTTTTTTTGTCGCAGATCCCGTACCTGACCTTCTGGGAGGTGGTGCACTACTGGTTCCACGCGGCGTGCGAGGTGCTCGTGGCCAACGATTACACCAGAAAGATAGGCAAGAGGATAATAATAATGAAGAAAGAGTGTGTGACATAAGTGGGCCCGGGAACGGTGCCGACTAAAGCTGTGTCTCTTTTCTACTATTGGCTGAAGTCGGAAAAGTACCATTGTTTGGTACCCTCTCGCAACTCTCTCATTGGCGGATTCAACGCGCTACCGCGGTTCACGGTAACAATTCCGAGGACGACAGCCCTGTGGATTTCCTTTTTTTTTGAGGGTGGGTCACGATCATGTATCGCGTCCCCATAACTGGAAATGAACAAATACCCAAAAACATAAAACAAAACGCACGCAACCATTCACTTATGATCTTTGTGCTATACCCGTGAGTTGTGCTGTTTGTCTGTTGAGCGATTTTTTCGACCAGGTTCCATGACTACGAAAACGACGTGTTGCGGTGCCCTCGGCGCTGCTGCGCACATCGCCCATCCAACTTCTCCCGGCACACACGAGAACGTATGATACATCAAACCACCTAGGCACCCCCGACCCCTCCCCCCCCATTGTAGGGGCGCGAGGTCAATGATCCAACGACTACGGCATGCGTTTGCATGAGAGTACACCCCCCCACACACCCGTTGAGAACCCGAACCCGGCGTGCTCCGTCCCGGCTTTGTAGGGATGCGACGTCAATGGTCAAACGACTAAATATGGCATTCACGACTAGAGTACCCCCCCCCCCCCCCCCCACCAAAAGGGGGCGTCTGGGGCGTGTTCCTCACCTCGGCGCTGATGCTGGTCTTCTGGCCCACGGGCTGGGTCATGCTGCGGCGGCTCCGCGTTAAGCTCAACCACCCTTCCCGGATGTCCCGCTTCCCCAACGTCGGGGAGTCGGCCATGTCCTCCGGAGTGCCGCTGGTGTGCCTCAGCCTGTACCTCGGGACCCAGAGCCTCAGCTGCCTGGTTTACGAGGGGGTGACCGACTGCGCGCTCAAGAATTCGGGTGCGTTTGATTTAGAGGAGGAGGAGGGGGGGGGGGGGGGGGGTTGCAGTAGCCTTGGCAAGGGTATTCGACGATCGATATACACCTATTGCCGAAGGCGATAGACTCGTCTATTTGGTAGAATCGCTCTGCAGAGTGGCAGCATACGTGGTCTATTGTCCAGGGCGTGTGAGGTTTAGCAGGGGGTAGGTTGGGGGTTAGGGTGTCCAACTCCCCCTCTGTATTGCATTATATCGCTTACTATCCCCGCCAAGACGGCCCAGGGGGTGGAGGGGGTTCCGTGGATTGGTTGGGTGGGAGACGGGGGGCGAACTAACTGATGTGGCTCGTTTTCACGCGTCATCCACCCCGTTGTCCTACCGTGCGATCGTCGTCGATGTGCGCGGGCGGTGTGGCGTTCACCAAAACCTCTCCAGGCACGCGGCACCTCAACTACAGCCTGGGAAACCTGTACGTGATGTGGATGCTCTTCCGACACCTCACCGGCAGCAATGCCAAGCAGGTGAGCGGGTCCGTCAGCGGCATTTTTTTTTTCTTGTTCTTGTTTTTCGTGCCGTTTTTTGCTCATCCCCTTCCTTCTTGCAATCAGACTGCTTTCTCTCTGCTCTTCAGCCAGGAGAGAATTGCTAGTGTTGCGGTGATCGTTCTCCTCCATTGCTCATGATGGCCTGGCCGTCCTGGTCAGCAGTCGTCGATTTTTTTTTTTTTTTGTCATGACGACGGAACGGCACTCAAAATTCCCAGTCGCGCAACTCTGTTTTTTGTTCTTACACAAAGCACAAAGAATTAGTGTGTGACCACAGATAATAGTTCCGGGGATAACAAGCCATGAATTGCTCATCTTTTGGCCGTGGAGCATTGGACCGCCACCCCTTCTCGCTTGAGGCGGAGCATCGTCCCAAGAACCCTGGCCTTCGTAAATGGGATGGGGGGGGGG